TCCCTGAGGCTGCCACAAGATGGCGGCGACGGCGGACGCCCATTCCAGCGTTCCTTTCTCTCGTTGGTGGCGCAACGCGACCGCACAGCCGGAGGAGGGACAGCAAGAGTCGAAATTACCGCGCCGCCGCCGGCGGCATCGAAGGAAGGAAAGGAAAAGGGCGCGGAACCCCTCTCGGAGTGCAACTGACCTCCTTTTCTCTCTGACGCTGCACCGCAACAAGGGAGTGGGAAACACTCTTTCGCAGCCGCGAGCGTTTAGAATGAGAAAGGGTTCACGAAAAAAAGAACAAAATCGAACAGCAATGGCTGCGAACTAAAGCCCCCCCTCGCCTGTAGCCGTGTAAGCGATGAAGGAAAAGTAAGCCTTAATGACTTCATTTATGGGCGCAGTCCGCCGTCCCCTGTCTGTCGCTTACGTCAGACGGACACGGCCAGTGCGGCTGGACCGAGTATGCTAGATCGTGAATATAAAGCGGTCGTCGTCGTGCAATCATGCTAACGTTCTTCAATAATATCGACCTTTCAAAATCTTGCCGAAATCAACAGTACGCTGAATGGCAGAACTCCCCCAGATAAAAAAAGTCGAACTGGAATCACATAAGCAATGGTTCTCTATATATTGATATTACAGGCGCGCATGTGCGTCGGAACGACTGTCTAATCACGACAAGTGAAGGAGACACGGCAGCCAATTGACAGTGCATTTTTGCAAGGAAAAATGATGCGGATTCTGAATACACATCGTCACTGCACGATTTCATTAAACGAAGAAAAAGACACAGCACTAACTTTGTGGTGTGGGTGTCATACCATGAAATGTAAAAAAAAAGGAAAGTTTAGAAGATGGTGTGTAAAGATTCGGTTCGTTTTCAAGGAATCAATATTGCGACACTTGAACCTCGCCTTACATATGAACTTCTCGTTCAACACTAAGGCTTAATCAGCATTTCTAGACGGTGCACTTATTCATAACGCCTTGTTAAAAGCACATACAGAGGTTTTATATCGCCTCGACGAAGGGCCCTCCGTCCTCAGCGTTCAATCTTCGTGCTTAGCACAACTTTCTGAAGACCTAGCCTCTAAATATTCTTCCATAGATTGAAGGCGCGGAGAAACCTACTGCCGTGAGTTACGAAGCATGTATTTCTCGGTCGCGTGACAAAGTTAACCCAATTTCATGAGTAGAAGGCAAAATAGCGTTCAGATCAGCAGTATTATTACGTGTGACTCGGTTTCATTAAGAATCGTACAATGCCATGACACATGAGCCGACAAGTGTTGACAAGACCAGAACAAAATGAGACCTCCGTTTTCCCAAAAAAGCCCTTACGCTACAATTCAACGCTAAAGCTGATTCGAGACAATCCTGGCACTTCAGACACGTTGGGGAGCCGGTGGACCTTCTAGAACACGCATGGCCTCGAAGCTTTTGGTATTAGGCTCCACAAAATTAAATACAGCACGGTGGCAAGCTGCACGCATGTTGCCAGAACGTAGGGGCAACTGTTACAAACCAGTAGCGAGCACTTGGCATGCACGCGGGGGCGCGCGTGTATATCTATGTGACGGCGCGCAGAGTAGCGCAACCTTATTGCACGGCCACAGGACGACGACAGCGAAGATACCTGGCGGCAGTGGAGCGCGTCGGGCGAGAAATCGGCCATGCAGAAAGGTCCCGGCCACGGTCGTTCGCCGGGGCTTCAATCAATAGGCGCGCGTGGTGCGTACGTTGGCAGCCTTTTCCCTGGTTTGAGGACGACGACGTCATCGTCACCACCAGATCGAGGGGGGGGGGGGGGGGCACAGAACGGAGGAGGAAGGCGCCACTATTTCGACGCCGCTTTTCGGACCGAGCGACTTGACGCTGCGATCAAGCGAGTCGTAAGAGCTCTCTCGCCCGGGGACGTTCGAGATGAACAGCGTCAGAGATGCGTTAGATGGATTCGAAGGCAAAACCGTCGGGTTTTATGGTGGCAGCAGCAAAATTAATTTCAGCCTCAATGGGTAAGGTAAAATCAGTAGAGCAGTCCTTCGGTTGCCGCGTTCTGTTCGCCAGCAGCGCCAAATAGAACGCAAAGGAACGCGAGGGGGCACTGCCACATATCGGGCCAAATACGAAGGGGTAGACACAGTATGCAGTGCGTGTGGAGAGGAAGAAGAAACTGCCGAACACTTGATAATGTTCTGTAAGGGCTTCACCCTACAGTTCAGGATGATGGCGCAGAGTTTTTCGAAGCACTGGTGTTTAGGGACAGGGAGGGCAAGATAGACTTTAAACGGGTAGCCCTAACTAGAAGGAGGTTATCATGATTGGTGGCTAAAGTCAAGGCACGAGTGATAATTAAACCCTACACTGCAAAGTACGAATCCTCAACCTCGCTATTTAAAGGAAAAAAAAAGATAAATATAATGGTTAGTTCACTAAGTATTACGGCTAGGTGGCGTTAGCCGCCGCCCGATCTGAAGGGTACAACCACATCCATCCAGGATGCCAGTTTCATGCTGCTCAGGTTCGAGCACGCTGGCATCTCAACCAGTTAGTACTCCACAAATGGCGACCACGGTGACGCCAATGAAAATCATGTATACTTAAACTATTCATCTACTGCGATTTCGTCGGTGAGAACTCATTACCAAGATGGCGCACGAGTTACACGGCAACCGCGAAACGAACCTACCTTACTGGTGCCACGGAAAAAAAAAAACCGGGCTAAAGTATCGCTCATGGTACCGGGTTCCAACGTGCGCCGCTACATATCAACCCTTCCTTCCACCTGCACGGATCCCACGCGCACAATCGTAATGTAGGCCAATGCAGTCAAAAATGTCGCCGAACAGATTAGGTGCGCTCGGAGGTATTCGCATTATGTCTTGATTATTGCGAAGTGAGACACGCGAATATTTCGATGGCTTTGTCGCGTCTCACTTCATGCTCTCTACACCACTATATGATGAAATGCCGCGCTCAAGCTAATGCGCGTAATTGAGACCGAGCATTACGCCTGTACGAAACTCGGCCCAGAAAATATAAAAGTTTTTAATCACAGCATACCTTTGCATCGTGCTTTATTCCTTAGTGATAGCTGCTAAGCTTTATTGCAAAAGAGTGTTCCAGTTTTTCAAAAGATATCGTTTTTTTTTTGTTGTTAAGTAGATTCTCGACGTAGGGTGTCCCAAGCACGGAAGGTCGCCGTGACATGTTTATCTCGTTTAAGAATGAGTCAGCGCAGGGGAGGTACCGATTTCGATCACCGATTTTCTATGGCCGCCAGCCACGCAGAGTGAACACAAAGGAACGCAAGGGGCACCGGCACTAATCGGATATCACTGTTTCAACCAGCTGGAACCCACAGAGCTTTAAGACCTCCACCATTGTGACAGAAAACACATTTTATATTTATTCACATACGGTAGGACGAAACCATCGTTTCAGGTTTTTATTTTCAAATACCACACGGGCTCTAAGAATAAGTAATATGTATTTCATTTAACCCTGGACAAAGACGGTCTTGAAGGCACTTTTCTGCCTAGATGTCCTAAGCCATTAAAAATTATCGGTGAATCGTCCTTTAAAGAAGAAAGAGATGATACGCTTGAAAGAAGTATTTATTCGTTCACAAATAGACCCGAAGCGAAGACACATCACGAGAAAGTGCTGGCATTGCGCCGACATAGCTTTCGTTCTTTTTTCGCGTAAGCAAGTCGTTCGGAAAGCTCTCTCGCATAATGTTCCGGTACATTCCGGAGGCTTCACCGGCTACGGGACGATCAGAAGCGACACCCAGCGGCGGCCGCACAACCGAAGGCCGGCGGGCACCTGTCATTCTCGAGCGGGTGTCGTTAGTGTGCCGTAGCTGTCCAGCGCAGTAAGCTCAGCTCGTTTTCCCCCGGAGTTCGCCTCCGGTGGATCAGGCTGCATCTGATGCAGCTGTCGCCCATGGCAGTCTGGACAACCGGTCGGACGCGTTTTGACAGGGAACACCGCATGCAAAAAGGCAAAGCGGGAAGAAAGAAAAAGCGAGAATGACTCGACGAAGCGAAGAATCTGGGTTCCACGAGAGAGAGCGTGGGGGGATGGAGGGGGGGGGGGCGATTGCATCAGAACCGGGCCGAACCTAAAAAGCAGGTCAGCGGCTCCCGGCGGCACGCCGGCAGCTCCCACGAGGGGCTGGCTACAGAACGGCACTGACCAAAACATCCTTGCTAGGAAGGGGAGGGCGACGGATGAGATCTTCGAAGATGCGTGGGAAGGAGAGGGGGGAGGGTTGGGTGGAAATGTCATGTACTTACTAGATGACAACTCTCGGGCGATGCCCCAGAAGCGGCATAACAGCGCGCAGTAACGGAGGTGTGTTACGCGGCATGCACGATAACCTAAAGCCCGGCAGGCCCGCGATAGCTGGCCTGGAAAGAGACCAAGGTAGATTTCGGCGGAGAGAGCGCAGCCCCAGAATGAGGCCGCGACGCGTAAGCGAATCGATAAGGCAAGCCCCGCCGGCCTTCCACACACAACAACGCTTTGGTGGTCGTGACCGTTCGGGGACAGATTGTACGGCCCCGAGAGGAGGAAAGGCTGCTCCGATGGGTGGCGAGGCTCGCGGGCCGAACACACGCTGCCGTCACGCGTGGGGCACGGGGTGCCGCTGCTCGCGGACCGCCGCTGGGTGTTAGCTCAGGGGCCCGCGAACGGGAGCCGCGCCCGGGCACACGAAGAGGGCCCGAAAACTGGGGCGCCTCCAGGGTGCTCCCCAAGCCCGCAGACGTCGGCAACACAGGGGTTGGGCGCATGCGCACACGCCACGACCTTCCAAGGGGTCACCCACTGCGACTGACCGGCCTTCAAAATTAGGGTCAGCCACCGCGAGTGTCGCGCTCCCTCGCGTTACATCACCGGCGGGGCACACCGCGCGAGCAGCGGCAAAAGAAACACCGGCGAACGGACTGAAAGCAGCCGCCATGTGCGCGCACGGATCCACGACGATGGAGGGGGACACTTACCCTGACACCCAGAGGCGAAGGGGTCCGGACGCTGCTGCTCGACGAAGTAGCTCGCCGCGCGAGGACACACACCAAATCCCGGGCAACGGACGATGCGAGAGCGGCCGTAGGCCTAAACCGAGAACCCGCTCGCTCGGCGTCGCAAACGCACAACACAGCACCCTTATTCCAAGCCGGCAGTCGCTGCTGCTCGAGGTTGCCGCACGGGTCGTAGTCCAGACGGGCTGCTGTTTCAAGCCGCGGCCAGGCTCGGAATAAAAAAATAAAAGAGGAGGGGGAAGGGCTTGCCGCCGTAGAGCTTGCGGCCGCGCTGCTGCACGCCCAGCAGTTTTCCACGACGATGCGCTTGCGGCGCCAGCCTAAGTAGGGCAAACGCGCTCAGCCAATCGCAGAGCCGTACATGAGCCCAGCGGCGCCTCGCGGACTCCGAACCAACTAGGCCTCTGTGGCAGCAGGGCAGTGCGACTGCAGCGCCGCCGCCGCATCGTGGCACAGTGGCCATGGCATCGGCTGCTGCTGCAGACGACGCCGTCGGGTACAACGCCCGCTAGAAGAAAGTGCTTCGGCGGTGAAGGCGACGCGCCTTTCAGCCGCTGCTCGTAAACAAATCGAGCGCGTTTATTTGGAGCGATGTCCTTCGCCTTGTTCACTGTCGCCATGACCACGAAGTGTGGACGCGAAAATAAAGTTCATTTTTTTCCTTCTCATTAATGAACCTCTCGCGTGTGTTACGGGGTTGCAGCACTTCACTCTGTGACTGAAAATATTTGATATTTAACTCACCCGGAGTTTACCACAAAAAGTGCGTGCTCGAGGTAATATGAGGTGAGAGATCATAGATCTGAAGCGATAAACCATATTGCTACGAAAACTTCACCATTGGCCAGTAATATGATCAGTCGGTGCACAAAAACTAATAAAAAAGCACACATTCAACTTTCCACGCAGCCACATTGCAATGAAAATAGATACGCTAACATCTCTGGCGAATTAGGTCAGTATCTCCTTTTGTATTCGACACAGTTAAAAGCTTTTTCCTAATCTTAGATGAATTCCTCTTTATCGTGAAATGCTTCTAGAGAAATGATGATTGCCGCCGATATTTCTTTTTCTCAACACTTTATTGCGTGACTTTGATTATAAAAAGAAAGAAATAGATAACCACACCCATATATTCTATTTCAAACTTTATCATTACATTAGAGAATAGTACACATTTTGAGGAACAGTAACTTTTTTTTTTCGGCGTCATGTTGCGAACGTTCTTTGATCCCTTTGCAAATACTAAAGCAATCAAAGCCTCCTTTATAAATGACAATTTATGGTTTCGTCCCGAACCACCGAGCAAGAGACGGAACGGCAAAGTTTATCGGTCGTATTGTGCTATTTGTTATTGGCGAACAACCTTCCCTGGTATGTCAAACAGCACTACAGTCATTCCTTGTTTATTATCTTCTTTTCTTTTCAAATCTCAGTTATTACTATACTATTAAATATCGCGTTTTTCTGTGCATATATATGATACAAACCAACAGTGCTCTGTATATACCGCTTAACACATTGATTCATCAGTTTTACTTGAAGCAAAGTAGCCATCGCCATCATGAAAGGCTTGCATCACTCGACCTGTGGGCGCCATTGGAAAAGTTGCGACGATAGATCGCATGCAAAATTGTGAGCTCTTATCGCTGGCCGTTTACGCGTTTATCATCGCCACTCGGTGAACCTTTATGCAACGCTTGCAAGTGAGGCACGTGGGGGGTCTCCTTATACATCGACCTCTAATACCTATCTCTATCTTCTCAGATGAGAAACAGCAAAGGTTTTGGTTTGGAGGTTTTGAAAACATTCAATTCCTCTTCGTTTAGCTCTCAACGAAGCTAACAGCGCGATTAACAAGGACGAAGACAAGAACTGGTGTCACACCTGTGTCACACCTGTCCCGTTTATTAGGGAGGCGATCGCCGGGCTAATTCCAAGAGCCGAAGTATCGGCCCCCCCGAACCGCACCACGAAAGCGTGGACAATTTAGAAGTGGTCCTTATTGGTGCGCCAGCGGACGCCGGCTGTGGCCCAAAGAACAAGACAGAGCCGAGAGATGATAAACAAACAAAATTATATTCTCATTAACGGCAGATCAAAAACAATACACACGTATGCACACTCCACAATAGTTACATACAATACGTCACCAACAGACAATGTACTACACAGTACAATCAACCACACTTGAAACAACGGACACAGACAACAATACGCACTACGATGCAGTCACATGCATTGAACAACCAAGACACCTAAGGACTAAAGAGATAGAAAACCTATTCAGTCCAAAGTCCTTGGAACAAAAGTCTGAATGATACTCTTCCGAGAATCACTCACTCAAAGTCCAGCGTTGTTGTCGTTCCGCAGCTCTCTGGAGTTTCTCTTCCAGGAAACCTCCCGTCTTCAATTGGCCACTCTTCAAACTTCAACTTCTTCGCCGGAAATCCGTCGGCTTCACACACGCAGCTGTTGCCCGCGTCTTCGCTCGATAGCGGTAAACCCACGCTCTTGCCTGTAGCTCGAGCCGTCCCTACGGACCAAAAACTTCGCCGACTACACGGCGGACTCTCTACGCACTCTGGCGCTCACTTCCGTCTCCTCCTGTTCTGTCACTACGGCAGAACCTTCGCCGACTACACGGCGGAATTCCTACGCGCTCCGGCGCTAACGTTCCGTCTTCTCCTGATTTCTCGTCTCGGCTGCTCGGTTAAATACCTTGCGCGCGACTTTCCAGATCTTTCTCGTCATTTCGTCGGCGCGATACGCAGCGAAGGCTGGGGAGAGGCGAGACGGTTTGTCTGCCCTCCGCGTCGGATGACTCAGCTCGGTCTGACCCCGCCCCGTTCGTTCGAGAGAAATCGCGGTCTTGCTGGGCCGCAGATGTGGGGTGAGGAGGATCGTCTGCGAAGCCGTGCTTCTGCGGGGAGCGCGCGCGCCCGGGAGCCCTGGATGTTTGCTTTCTTTTTTTTTTCTTTTTACCTCGCGGCGTTTCTGCCGCCGTTGTCGCAAGGATTGGCGGCGCGCTCTTGTTTAGCGCTCGTTCTGTGACACTGCCCCCCACTTTAAGAATATTATCTCATAATATTCAAAACCACACAAACGAGCGCGAACAGTCACCACACATTCTCACAGACTGTAACACAATCCGTCGCTCGTGACACGTCACATTCACAATATATCACGCAATACAATTGTTCATTGTAATTCAATTAAACAACACGTGAAAACACAACCACAAGCACATGAGTACAACACTCCACCACACATTCCCAATAATACAAATGTACAAAGTTCTCTCAGTACAACAAAGGTACAATACTATACATCCCATCACAGCACAACACTTCGACACTTGTGACACAGGATAACACAACATTAACACAACATATGGCACTCAACACTGCCAAACACATTCTGCTTTGACTTCAGCACCTATCCTGAATACTGCGAACAGCGCTTGCGCCCCTTTTTGCGGTGCTCGCTCGATCTCTTCTTGTGCTTCCACGTTCTTTTTCGGCGAGCCCTTTCCAACGACGATATCTGAGGCGTCGTCTCAGCCATCGTTGTCTCTTCCGACACCGTTAACGCGTCATTACATTCGACGGGTCCTGTCTGTTTATTTACCCGCTTGATAATGCCTCTACATTTTGCCCGGCTGGCCAACTCCGTCTCCTTTACACTGTCGGTCGGTTGAGGTCGTGCCGACGTAAGTCCGGTTGCTCGGCCCGTGAACTGATTCGACACGATCGTCTTCTCCTTCGCTGTCTCTTGCGCCGAGGCTTCACCTTGGGCTCTAGTGAGATCCGTCACGGGATGCTCCTCCACTGTATCTCGCGGCCGCTGTGTTGGTGAGGGCTCTAACTTCGGGTCTTCTCCCAAACATTCTGGATCACTTGGCCCTCGCGCCCCGTCGATGTTTCCGATGACAAGGTCATACAGGGGGGTCGTCATGCATAACGCAGTAACCTTCCCGCTGAAGTACGGGGTTTCAACCTCAATTTCTGCTTCGGGAAGCATCCGGACCGTACGGTCAATTAGGCAAACCGGTTTCGTTCTGCCTGTCAACTCTCTTTCCCGTACCAAATTTCTCCTCACGATAACCGTGGAGCTACCGGTGTCTCTTAGAACCGTAATCTTCTTGCCTGCAATCTTTCCAGGAAGCGTTGGCATTCCCTTCGTAACACCGGTTGGCTGTTTTGACATTACAGCCCCCACAATAGGAATTTTCTCCCCATTCTTCAACTCTACGAATCCATCAGTGACGGCATTATTATCAGATTTCGGTGCTGCTTGCACACAAGATACCTGGTGAGTTTGACTCACTCCGTTCCGACAAGCGTCTGCTTTGTGCCCAGTCTGACCACACTTGAAACATTTTACTGCCGGAGGGCTCGTAAAGATCGTTCGACAGTTTTTCGCGCGATGACCCACTCGGTTGCACAGAAAACATCGTGGAATGCTCTCTGGTGCACGCTTCTTTTCTTCGGGAGCCAATTTCTTCGAATCATCGGGACAATCCTTCTTGACCTTGGCCAAATTAGTTCCTCCTTGCGCTTCTAAGAATTGATCAGCCAATTCAAGCATTCCTTCAAATGACTCCGCCTTCCTCTCTTTCAAATACAGCGACAGGCTTGGGTGGCAACTAGTAAGAAATTGTTCTTTAATTAGCAGCTCTCTAAGTTCATCGTACTCCTGTGCTGTCCCTGAAAGTTCAATCCATCTGTCGAAATAATGGCAAAGTCGGGCGGCATACTGCGTAGCCGTCTCACCATCAGCTGGCTTTCCTGTCCGAAATCTGTCCCGGAATCCTTCCACAGTGAATCTAAATCGCTTCAACAAAGCCGCTTTCACCTTTGCGTAGTTGGCTGCATCGGTCGGCGTCAGCCTACCGTACACACTGAGCGCTTCACCACTCAAGCAGGTACTCAAAGCAGTTGCCCATTGATGTTCCGGCCAATTCTGGCTCTTCGCAATCGTCTCGAATCGGTGAAGGTACGCGTCAAGGTCGTCCTTCCTTTCATCAAACCCTACGAGCAGCTTGCTTGGGTTCAAGCGGAAGCCGTGATCTTCCCGTTCGCTGCTTTCAACTCTAGCTTGGACGGGAGTTTCGCTTCGCTGTTGCAAACGGAGCCGCTCAAGTTCCATCTCGTGCTGCCGCTGCCGCTCCCTTTCAGCCATCTCCGCTTCTCTTTCTTCCTTCAGCTGCCGCTCCCTCGCTTCTCTTTCTTCTCTCGCCCTTTCGGCTGTCAACTTCTCTCTCTCCAGCTCCAACTTCAATTGTTGCTCTCTTTCTTCCTTAGCCCTTTCAGCGGCCAGCCTTTC